AGAATCATGCCTGAATTTGCTCCTCTTGCCAAAGCCTTGGTTTTGCAGAAAAGAGTAGCCTTAGCCCCATACATTCTGGGCCATGTATATAGAGTTTGTTCCCTCTTTTGTGAGAAACCCTTAGATGCTAATCAAGGGGGACCATTTTGGATCCTTCAGCTTTGGCTCTTTGCCTATTTTACTGAACTACAATCCAAATGCCTTAAATTTTCTGGGCTACACTCTCTTACTCATAGCATAAAACTAGCCAATGCTTCACTTTATCCAGCTACTTTTGCCTTTTATTTCTCCTTCTTTCATCAACTACCAGCTGCTCTACCTGATCACCGTTTCCGTCCCTTCGAAGCTAGCATAGGTCCAACCTGGTTAAATCACTTCCTTAGTGATAGGCTCTGTGCTTTGCCTATTCATAAAGATATGTGGGCTTCCCTACTGATCCCTAGAGAACTGTTTATTGGGACCACCAACCCCAGAGCCTATAAATGCATAGCTGAGCCTTATTGTCCTGCTCAATTTGCTAGACAATTTGGCCTCACACAAGGAGTTCCAAAGTTGAACAAAACATCAACTCTTCTAGCCAGGAAAGAATATCTCGGCTATAATCCTAGAGTTGAGCAAATCATCAACTCCATTAGCCAAGATAAAACACCACGGCTAATATATTCGAGTTGAACAAAACATCAACTGTTCTAGCTGGTATAAAACACCACGGTTGTAAAGGGAGTTGCCCCTGGTACACTACAGTTCCTCAATTGCAACATACTTTCAATGTAAAATAATTCGTTCCTATTACATGTTGCAATCATGAATTCACATAACGACCGAGAGGATTACATTGGTAGATGGAGGGGAAAACTTGCCCCTTTACAAAAAATTACAGAAAAAAAACAAAGACTAAAAATAGTACAGCTTGAGATTGGCCACATTCCATGGCCGAGGTACACTTTTGCCATCCAAGTCCTCTAGGTGGTATGCCCTCCTGCTCGCCAGACTGATTATCCTGTAAGGCCCTTCCTAGCTTGCGCCTAGCTTTCCTTCGCCCGGCACCAGTGTGTTTCCCATCACCTTCCTTAAAACCTATTCCCCGACTTTAAACGGTCTGGGGTGCACTGTTTTGTTGTACTTTTTGGACAATTCTTGTTGATATGCGGCCATGTGGATTAACGCATTTTCTCGGCAATCGTCAGCTAGGTCCAATTCCAGGGCGATAGCGTCAGAGTTTAGTTCAGACTCAAAATTTTCGCTGCAGATGGTGGGCATGCCGATCTCCGATGGGATAACTGCCTCCACGCCATATGCCAGGGCAAAAAGAGTCTCCCCGATTGAGCGTCTTGGAGTTGTCTGATAAGCCTAGAGGACACTAGGAAGTTCCTCGGCCCACATGCCTTTGGCTTTCTCTAGCCTTTTCTTAAATCCATTTAGAATGGTCTTGTTCGATGCTTCAGCTTGGCCGTTGGACTGAGGGTAGGCCGGGGTGGAATTGTAGAATTCTATCTTCAATTCCTCACAAAATCTTCTGAATAATCGTCCATCGAATTGGGTGCCATTATCAGAAATCAAGGCCTTGGGGACGCCAAATCGCATAATCACGTTCTGCCAAACAAACCTTTTGACATCCTTTTCTTTGATAGTCGCCAAGGGCTCGGCTTCAACCCACTTGGTGAAGTAATCTGTTGCCGCAATGAAAAACTTCCGATTGCTCGGCGCTGTTGGGAGTGGTCTCACTATGTCCAACTCCCACATTACGAAAGGCCAAAGACTTGTGAGGGGGAGGAGCTCTCTAGTCGGTTGGTGAATTTGGTGGGCAAACTTTTGGCACTTTTCGCATTTTTTAACATATTTCTACGCATCTGCTTGCATGCACGGCCACTAGTATCCTTGTAAAATAGGGCGGTAGGCTCAAGATCTCCCTCTAATGTGACTTCCACACATGCCTTCGTGGATCTCGTAAAGGAAAGCCTCCACGCTGTTTGGATGAAGACACTTGAGGTATGGACCGGTGAATGACCTCTTATATAAAGCGCCAGATGGAGAGAGCCAAAATCGCTCTGACTTCACCCGGACTTTGTGCGCTTCCTTTTTGTCAGCCGATAGGGTTCGTTCTTTAAGGAAAAGGATGATAGGGTCCATCCAAGAGGGACCCAGCTTGGTGCAGAATACTTCCGTCTGCTCCGAATCCTCAATGCTGGGTCTTAGGAGGAACTCAATCAGGAGAAGGCTGGGAGTTGATCCGTTGAACATGGAAGCTAGGCCAGTCAACTCATCTGCTCGGCCGTTATCTTCACGGCCAATTTGTTGGACCCTTATTACTTGGAATTTCTTGATGTGTTCTCTCACTAGAGCTTGGTATTTGGCCATTCTGTCATCTTTGGCTTCGTACTCTCCAGACACTTGGTTTACAACAAGTTGGGAGTCGCTGTAGACCATCAGCTCGGATGCGTATAATTGGAGTGCATTTTTAAGTCCGGCCAGCTGTGCTTCGTACTCAGCCTCGTTGTTTAACGCTGGGAACCCAAGCGTGATAGAGTGTTCGATGGTTAGTTTGTCTGGCGAGATCAAAACTATGCCCAGCCCGACGCCGTGCCGGTTTGAGGCGCCATCTACAAAAAGTTTCCACATTTCACCAATGAAAAGTTTCTAGCATTCTAAGGAATCCTAGGATGCTTGACGGTTAAGGTGATCATGGTCGCTCGGCTATTTTTGCTACAAGCTCGCCGCTGATGATTACAACAGACGTGTCTTCATCTCCCCCTCGACGATGCGGCGTCGGATCCAATAGGTTGACCTATTATTCCCAAATCCAACGTCGCATTACCGGGCCGAAATACACCTCTGACTAATGGATTTGTGGATGGAAGTGTAAGTTTCGCGTTGCCAACATCACTCTGTTGTGGAATTTCCATGGCGCTTACCTCCTTCACCTCGGCTACTGTGGTAAGATCCATCGGGCATACCAGGTGAATTCCAGGCGAGAATTCAGCAACAAAGTCGGCTAATGCTTGGGCTTTGATGGTGGTTCGGGGTTGAAATTTGACGTCGAATTGCCCCAATTCAACTGCTCACTTAAGAATTCGGTCGGAGAAATCTGCCCGCTCAAATAAGGCTTTCAGAGGGAATTCGGTCAACACCACGATTATGTGAGCATGAAAGTAGTGCGCCAATTTTCTGGAGTCTATCATTAGCGCCAAAGCAAGTTTTTCTAGCGGCAAGTACCTCGACTCTATCGGTAGCAAGGTTTTGCTCACATAAAAGATTGGGAGATGTTGGATACCTTCTGCCCGGACGAGCACCGTACTAACTGCATGTTGAGAAACAGCCAGATAAAGGTAGAGTTCTTCACCGTGCTTGGAGGTCACCAAGAGTGGGGCGGAAGACAAATACGTCTTGAGCACCTGTCACATTCTTCGTCTCATGAAAACTTGGACTTCAAGGCTCGAAAGAAAGGGCGGTAACGATCTGATGACCGACTTATGAATCGGTTAAGCGCGGCTGCCATACCGGCAAGATGTTGCACGTCCTTTGCCGAGTTGGGCTACTTCAATTCTTGTATGGCTCTGATTTGTGAGGGGTCCGCTTCGATGCCTCGATTGGTGACTAGGAAGCCTAGGAACCCACGCCGAAGGCACACTTTGACGCATTCAGGCGAAGCTTGTGTTGTTTAAGAATGGCGAACATCTCGGCTAGATCGGACAAGTGGTCGGCCTGATGTTTGCTTTTGACCACCATGTCATTGATATAAACCTCCATCGTGCGGCCGAGTAGAGGGGCGAACATCTTGGTCATCATCCTCTGGAAAGTTGCCTCGACATTTTTCAAACCAAAAGGCATGATTCTATAGCAGAACAATCCCCTTAGCGTCGTGAAAGATGTGATCTCACAGTCGGGTTCATGCATAGCGATCTGGTGATAATCGCGATAGGCATCTAAGAAACTGAGCTGGTTGTGTCCGGCTGTAAGAGCCACCAACTGGTCAATTCTAGGCAAAAGAAAGTTGTCTTTAGGGCAAGCTTGGTTGACCGTCTAGTAATCAACGCAGACTCGCCATTTTTCATTTTTCTTGGGTACCACGACTATGTTTGAAACCCACCAAGGATAGTGCACTTCCTGGATTGCCCTAGCTTCAAGCAAGTTTTTGACCTCCTCCGCCACTACCTCAGCGTGATGAAGGGCTAATCTCCTCGTTCTTTGAATGACTGGCCGAACGTCCGAGAAGATATTGAGTTGGTGGCAAATAAAGCTTGGATCAATGCTTGGTATGTCGTAAGGCATCCATGCAGAAACTTCAATATTCGCCACCAAAAACTCCACCATCTCCAGCCGTTCTTGAGCGGTCAAGCTGGATCCTAACAGGAAGGACTAATCTGGATTGTCTTCGCTGATTCGTACCTCCACCAAATCTCCAATGGCCTTTTCTTTGGCCCTAGTGCCCACATCATCCAAGACACTTTGATCTTCTGGGCCTTCGATCATTTGCACGAAGCCTTTGGCTGCTCGGCTCCCATTTATGGCCACGAAACACTGCTTAGCCATAACCTGATCGCCCTAAATCTCTCCGATCACCCCCGTAGCAGAGGGGAACCGCATAACTTTGTGGTAGGTCGATGCCACTACCTACATGGCGTGAAACCATCTCCTGCCTAGGATCCGATTGTATGTGGAGGGCACTTCAACACCTAGAACTCCACCTACTTGACCACGGATCCGGCTTTGACCGCTAGGATTATCTTTCCCAAGGGCCGCTCCGGTTGTGAGTTGAAACCGACTAGTGGCGAAGTTGCCGGAGCCAAATCCGTATCTCTGAGTTTGAGCTGCTTGAAGGCGTCGTAGTACATGATCTCGACCGAGCTACCTTGGTTGATCAAAATGCGCTTAACATCAAAGTCCTTGACGTGAAGGGTGACCACCAGAGCGTCATTGTGCGGCGTTTGAATGCGCTCAAGATCCCTGTTTGAGAAGCTGAGCACATTTTTCTCGCCGGTCTTGCCTCTTTTGACCGTGGACTAGACTGACAGGACTTCCCTTATATGTTTCGCTTTTTTGATAATCCCTCGGAGCTTGCATACCCGCGCTGGCTCAACGATACCATGGATCACATTGACTACTCCTTCGGAGGGTGCTTCTAGGGAGGCCAAACCACTTGGCTCAGCCGGAGCATGGTGCACGGCCTTGACACTCCTGTCAATGTAACGGTCCAAGTGACCAGCGGCAACCAACTCCTCCAAGTGTTGTTTTAGGGGAAAACAGTTCTCTGTATGGTGCCCTCGCTCACTATGAAAAGTGCAGCGATACAGCGGATTGAAGCCCTTCTGCGCAACGCCCAACTTGGCTGGAAACCGGACGTACACCTTGTTGCGGATTTCGCTAAGTATGTAGTAAATTGGGATTTTAAAAATCGTGGTGATGCCTGTTCGGGCGTTCAACTTTATATTCACATCTGCTACGGCATCGCGGGGGTAATCAGCTCGATCATTGCGGCGACCTTTACCCTGGTTTCTACGATTCGGACCACAATTTGATTCTCCTATGCGGTCACTTAGATGGTTTGTCTTCTGTCCGACCGTGTGGACTTTTCTAGCCACCCTTTCGTCCGTTGCCACCGGATTCGTCTTCGCGGTGGCGGCGGTCGCATCATCCTCTACTCGGATGTACTCGTTGATGTGGTGCATCAACAGCTCTATGGAAGTCGATTGGTTCATCGTGAGCAAGTCCCTCAGTCTATGTCCGATCGAGAGACTGCGCTTGTATTGGGTAATTACCAGGTTGGTCGGGTAATCAAAGATCTCATTGAAAGTTTCCCAATATTTGGCGTTGTATGCTTTGAGGGAGTTGCCCGGCTCCATCTTTGACACTTAGAAGGTGGTCAACCTTCTTTGGCGTTTTGGTGTTGGTTTTGAATCGGGTCACAAATGCTTTTGCCAACTGCTGCCACCTTTTGATGCTTTCCTGCGGTAGCCTCTCAAACCACTTCAAGCCCAACTCGCCCAAACTCGACGGGAAAATAAGGCACATGAGAGCATCGTTACGCGTGTATCCAGCCATAACCTACCAAAAGGGCTTACGCACATGTACAGATCGGTTTTTCCATCATAGAGCGTAAACTTGGGCTGGTGAAAGCCCGCAGGGAGCAGTGTGGTCTCTATCTCAAAGGAGAAGGGGGTGGCACTCAGTCTTGCCAAATCTTTGTCCAAAGGGACATGTACCACTGGACAGGGTGGAGGCATTACGACTTCTTCACTGGCGCAACCTCCGTAGGATAATCGCTGCAGTGCCGGCACCCTTTGCTCCTCCCTTTTGCGTGCTCACTCTTCTAAGACGTCCCTCAAGTCCTCCGAATGAGCGGAGTAGGAATATCTCGACGTCGTCGGCGGACGTGAGGAACGGTAATTGCTATCATGTGCGCAGGACTTTTCTGCTGGCGGGTCAGAGTCCCTTACCCCATAACTTCTGGTGATGGAGAGTGAGGGCATGTTATGCTGGTTCTAGCTACTTGAGCGACGGGATTTGATGCTCTCACTGTGGTTACCCACTCTAGCAACACCCTTCCCTTTGACATGTCGCTTTAGTGTCTCTATCTATGCCTTCATCCTTCGAATAATGGCATCTTGATCCCTTAGCTTATGCTCCAGGCGCTAAGTATGTGACTCTCTTTACTGCTGGTGCCCGTCAAGGCTTCGTGAGTAGTCAGTGCTCCTTGTGCGCTTGTCTCGCGCATCTCTGGGGTGCTCTCTAGGAGAGGTCTCCAGACCAGCCATGGTAGGGATGGAGGGAAGACCCTCTCTTTTCTGAACGGACTCCGGAGTGATGCCGTCGATGGCGGACAACGGAATGTCATCGTTGTTCGCCATAAAGCGTGATCGAACGAGCTTGGAGGACAAGGTTGTCTGTCAAAGCTTCCTATAGACGGCGCCAATTGTACGGGGAGCAAATATCCATCGCTGTCCGTACTCCTTGTGTCCAAGCTGCACTTCACTCCGATCGACCTGAGAACATAATGATGGTGAGCTACCCGACGGTGCACTTTCGGAAAACCCTCTGACGATCAAGTTAGCACATGGGGAAAAAGAAAAGAGAGCAGGCAAAGTGGTAGGTGAGTTGTGATCATAAGATGTTCCAGACTTGAGTATGGGGCACAGCATCGTTTATATACTTTCTGTGCGCGCCTCTGCATCCTCTCCTATTTTCCCACGTGTCAGCGCAAATACAGCTAAACACCACCTAACAAAACCGCCAAACGGAATTGGCGCGAACGGACAGCACGACGCCACTCCATCACTCCTCGACCGTGTTACTTCTGAGATGTGCAATGCTCTAAACCGAGCTACGCCTAGCACGGCGCCACATCGTCACACCACGACCATGCTAATTGTCTGGTTTCATTAAAGAATCTCACTGCGGCTTAACCGTCCTCAGTTATGACCTAGCTCCTGCTCGGTCGGACTGATCTGCGGAAGACCTAAACCGTCTAACTCAACGAGCGAATAAAGTTAACCAGGCTGACAGTCCGATGTTACCCCGGCTAAATTGGACCGGGGCCTTGACCGAGTGCACCCCCACTTGCTTGGCCCAACTTAGCTCGGTCATTATCTCGGCCCAATGCCAATTTAGGAAATCTCCCTCTCACTTAACACTGATGTTTGCCAAACCATTTGCACATTTGTTGCCTTTTTTAAGAATGTAGTTTATGGTACAACTGCATCTTTATATAAGAAATTTGGTAATTTGGCTTATGGTCTCCTCTGCATTGGTAAGTTATGAATTCAAATATAAACGAGGATTTGGATCTATATTTTAAATACTATGTATGATGCGTTTAAATATTAAAAGTTTGTATGGCCAATCTCATGTGGTAACACATTAAGTGATTGGCATAAGAATAATTAAATTGAAGATATGTGTTTATCACTACTCTAAAAATGTATAGTCATGAATTGTTGTTTAATTTTCATTTGTATTTTATAAAATTAGGAGAACTCAGCAAAGCTTGTAGTTTGTGTATTTAGATATTCCTATTTGTATAGTTTATTGTAAATCAAAAGTTAATAATTAAAAAGTAAAAAGTAAAATTATTCTTTTCTAACTTTTAAATAATTAATTTTTTTTCAACTTATTTAAGTTGTTTATATCTAATAAATAAACAGACACGTACTCTCAAAATAAAAATAAGTTATAAACACCTCAAAAAAATTGCTCTATAACACCAGTACTAATCAATAAAAAAACAAAAGGAGAAATTACTGTCTAGTGGAGTGTTAAAAAAAATTATAAACACATAGAGGGTGCAAGTGATTCGATGGTAGCATATAAGTGAACATTTATTAAGTACAAATCTCACTTGCACCCCTCTATACGTTTTTAATTTTTTTCCTTCTGCCAATAATTTCCCCAATACAAAATGATATTAAAGTCAAAATTTATTATCTCCCATCAACTCATATAACTTTCTCTCCGAACCAAATACAAGTGTGCCATTGTGCTGCCAAAGAGAGCATAGTCCACCAGGCCTTGGCAATTGCCTACAAATTAAAGGCCGAGTTCTAGCCCAAATCTACAAACCTGGAATTGTCAACAAGAGGGGCTTACACCGACCCATGTTAAATTCTCAAAGCCCAAACTCTACCATTAGCTTAAAATATGGACTTGTGGACTTTGGGATAGGCTTGGCTCATATGGACCTAATTTTAGTTTACATTAGAACTTTAATTTAGCCTTTTTATTAAATTCAAAAAATATTGAAAAATAATAAGAAATTATTAGACCAAATTTTAAAGTGCATCACAACAATTATAATTACATACTGTTTTAAGATGGGTATTGAATAATACAAAAAATAATAGTTATAAAAAACTTTATTCATTGAAATACAAAATTGTGTGAGTGATTTTCTGACCACACTGTTCGCTTAGTAATTAGCTGGAGAGCACTGGTAGAATAGATGGCACTTGGCTGACCTGCAACAGAAAGAGAAGATTCCGGCGGTGGTTCGTCCACCCGGGGGCACTCCGACGATCAAGTCAGTATATCTCTCAAAGATAAATTAAGTGTTAAACTCACAAGCTTGAGTATCAAAAGCATACCTTAGACCCATGGGGGTGCCTCTCTTTTATAGCCAACATAAACCTAGTCCCAATAGAAGTCTAACTTATATGGACTCAGGATTACTACTAATCTTAGACTCCCAGTATGATTAGGATAAACTCTCTAAGAGTCTTATCTTAATACAAACTGAAGTCTCCTCTCATTCTAGGACTCTTGCCCCTCATCCGCTTATCTCGGATTTCGATATCTTTGGAGGTAACCTCGGCCTATCCAAGATGACCTCGGTATAACAACCAGGACACGTGGCACCTCGGCTGATACATCGGCGTCACCTTGGCCACGTGTTGGTACTCAGAAAATATATCTCCACAACTGCCCCCTAGGTTTTATCACCTCCTGAGGTGATGGAACCTACACTGTTCGTTCATCTGTGCCCCTTTGTCCGAGATAAAACTCGCCGACCTCAAAGTTCCCTAGACTTTACTGTCCACTTCTGTCAAGTATCAAGCTTCATGCTTTCCAAGCTGCTCGAGATCACACCTCCTAGCTGAGGTTCTTGTTTCATTAATTCGTAAACTCCAAGAGTTTTGCAATTGCTCCACTCACATTCTTCGGTGGGTTCCCGACTTCCAGTCATCTATTTGACTCCGGCAATCTTCATATCGGCGTTTATTTCGCTTGGTTGGTTCATAAACTCTTTTATTAAGCTCAATCTTTCATAACTCTTCTCAATCCATTTATTTGCCCTCTGTTGTCTTCTATTTTCGTCTGTTTTCAAGTTTTGAATTGTTTGAACGCCTGGCACTGTTCTTGCCATATTTGCTTTCTGTTGCTAGCATCGTGTCTGGGTCATTACTTTCTTGTTCTTCACATACTTACTTAGTGTCTGTGCACTTGGCTTTATTCTTGAACTTTGTCGTCTTCTTGACTCTGATTTTTCTTTTTTTTCATTCAATCCTCTGACTTTTTCTCTTTCTAGCTCTTTTGCTTAAATCCGTCATTGTTCCAAGCTTTCAAGCTCTGCAACTGTTTTTGTTCCTCTCCTCCGGTGAAGCTTACGTCATTCTGTCATTTTCGCATCCGTCGTCAGACTTCGGCAATTCTCATTCCAGCGTCCCTCTTTCTGGTAAGCCACTATTCCTCCTGGTTTTATTTCTTGTTGCTTTCCAAGAAGCTCTGCTTCATTGTTAATCACCATTGCTGTTTTACCCGTTGTTTCCAAATCATCTTCTTGAATACACACTGTTCACACATCTGTTGATTTCTGCCACTGTTCTTGGCTTGACACACCTGTGCAATCTTTTTGTCTTGATTTCCTGATAGCTTCATCACCATTCTTGATTACGAATTGCTTTTGTTTTCTGTGTCTTTTTCCAAATTCTTGCTTTCAATCCTTGCCTTCAAACTCCAAGGTGCCAATCGCCGAAAAGAGCTTTGATCAAACTCTTCAGGAGATCGATGCTGAGCTCAAGGCCGAGAAGGCTATTGAGAAGTCTTCCCAACTGTCTTTTATATCCTGCCATTGATGCCGAGTAGTTTTGTTTCCTTCTCTTACTCCTTGTACCTTGTACCTTATACTTTGTCCTTCTTTGTATGCTTTTAATCCGGCTAACGTGCCATTTTTGTAGTCTGAATAATTTATTTTTCATTATTCAGGGTGAAGTGTCTTCTTTCTTCTTTAAATGCATTTCTCTAATTTCTTCTTTAAATGAATGTCTTCTTTTTTCTGCTCTTGTATGATTCTACACTTTGAATAATTTGCATGTCTTCAAAGTACACCTTGACTGTGCAATCTCTTCGGGTA